TAAATGAACATTACATTTAGAGCACTTTATACTCGAGAGTTTTTTGCAACCAGGATATTTGCAGTGAAGTCGTTTGTCTACTACAATGGGCCAATGGCCTGTCTGATCCCTCCGAACATCAAAGGATGGAAGTGGTGCTGTAGGTCCTCTTCTTTTCTTTTGTTCATATTCCCTTCCAACGCTGTCTCTTTCGTTAGAGGGCCTGCCACGTTTTTTGTCTAAAGTAGACTTCCTGTAAAGGCATAAGCTTTTCGCAACAGATGTTTTGAAAGAGAGTTGGTCCTTTATTTCATTCTTTGGGCACCTTGCGATTTTGCAGTCTTTTTTGTACCAATTCCATGCATTTACCGTCATTAGATCAATGAAGTGATAAAAGAATCTCATGTAATATTTCTTAGATCTAACATGTATTCGATAATAAGCTATTTGGCCATCAAGGAGGTCTACTCCACCCATAAACTTATTATATACATCAACAGCATGGGGCTTTTGAATTATTACCCTCTTCTTCTCTTTTTTGTCCCATCTTTCAACTTCACGGACTGGTTCAGCGCTTGAAAAGGTAGTGGCTAAAACAACGCCCTTACTGTCAAACCATTTTATTGTTCGAATATTCACACTTTCGACTGCCGATTCTTTTTCCTCATATGCTCCTCGGGCCTTCTTTTTTAGATCTGCATCACTAGTGAAGGTGCATCCGGGAAACCTTTGTAGTCTGATGGTTCCCATGGCGCCAATTCCCCTTCTGTACAATTCCACTAATAGAAGTGGCGACGAAAACCAGTTATCAAAGTAGAGAAGATAATTTTGATCATTAGGGATAATGTTGGATAATTGTAGGACGATGTTTCCACTTGCTCCAATATCGCGATGAAAAGGTTTAGGAAGGATTTTTCCAGTATAAATTTCAAAATTATAGACGGTCCCATAAACATCACACAGTGCAAAGAGTTTGTATCCCCATTTATGGGGTTTTTTTGGGTTGTAAGTTTTCAAAAATGATTTTCCCTTGAAAGGGATGATCTGCTCATCAACAGAAAACATTTGACCTTGCAAAGGAATGCTCTGACATTTTGAGACAAGGCTGTCTAAAAGAGGACGGATCTTATAAAGCCTGTCAAAGTTATCGACGTGTCTTTCTGGCATTTCGTCATTATTATTGAAATGGAGGTATCTGCTAATCTCCTCGTAACGATTTCTACTCATCACGTCTGCTACTTGTGGTAATCTGAAATCTTCTTTCCAATAGTTTCGGGTTCGATGAAGATCAAAAATTGACATACACATCGTTACACCAATAAATTGTTCCAGATCAGCAACCGTAAGGTTTAGAGCCTTATTTGGATTTTGTTGCACACAATATAAATTTGACTGTTCCACAATGTGTTGCAGCAAGTTGTCGGTAAAGAAAATTTTGAAATAGTCGACAGGTTCCCAAAGGTCTACATCGTCTTCCTCAATACTTTGCCAGGTTGGTGTGGGTTTTGCAGAATTTGCGGTAACTAGCGTCGAAATTTGAGAGGGGCGAGTGTTTTTCTTCTTTGATCCGCAAAGTTGAGATAAGGGAATGTCGCTTGAGCTATCGCTGTCGCCATCTGACATAGGTTCCAGATCTTCAGGATCAGAATCAGACTCGGGTAAATATTCGTCGTCACTGTCAATTGGCGGCGCCACAAATTTATGAAGAATCTTATCTTTCTGAGTTGTCTTTACCTTACGTTGCATCTGAATAGTAAACAAGAACATACACATAAGGACAATAAAATTGGTCAATCTTCTGTGTCTTGTACAAAAAAAATGCAGTTTTTTTGTTAGTGCCCAGAATATCAAATATGATATATTGCTTCTTAGGGTAAATAACTACCTTTATTTCTATACCCTAGTATAACTACTTATTTATTTTGAAACTATGGTAGTTATTCTTTGTAAAAAAAAATATTTACTTGCCTTGAGAAGGGGATGCCAAGAATAATTGCAGATAAATTATGCAATGCACCAAACACGTCACAAGCAATAAGTAACTGTTAAATCCAGCATGCCTACATACATTTCAGAAACTATTACAGATCAAAACCTTGTGTATTAGTATAAACTAAGCTTAGTGTAAATCACCAACAGGTTGCAGCACCTCCTGGAACCATAATTCAAATATGCCGCTTTATTATCTGGTTGGTATCAAATATGATACATTGGGCACAAAGAGGTTTTAAGAAATAAGGGTTATTTCTCAGTTTTATATTAGGATGATTTTTTGCTACTGGGCAAAACATTTGAGGATTGTTTAGATAACATGCGTATTACCGCCAAGTTATTAAAATCGCTTGGGTTTATCATTAATATTGAAAAGAGTTAATAATAATAATAATAATAATAATAATATGATTTATTGCCCAACAGAATAAAATTCCAATTATAGGACAATTAATAATCTAAGAAAGCACAATAACTAAATATACTAATATCTTAACCGCTAACCTAATAAAAACCAAATTAAATGATATTAAACTTAAACAAGATTAAAAATAAAATTAAAAATATTCCATCAATCTTTTAAGATCAGATACTGAGCAAGTGTTAATGTCACACATATTAGCAATTTTGTTAAAGTTGCTTACCATAACAAATATTGGTGATTTACAAAGTAAGTTTGTATTGGCCTTAGCACAATTGAAAGTATATACCTACATTACGAGCCGAAGAACGTGGCACATGGAACCGAATGAGGGAAAGAAGAGATGGACAATCTAGGTTATTGTGTAACAAATTGAAGAGAAAGTTAAGGCTTGACAGAGTTCTGCGAACTTCTAAGGAATGTACCTGAAATCGAGATAACAGTAGTTGATGATCAGTACCAATTGCGGGATAAACTCTGTCCCAAGTAGCAAAAACTTATGTTTTTAGTAGTGTAAACAGTTGTGGAACATTTTCCGAACATATGTAAAATGTTGGTTTTTACATCAAAAGTAATCATTTTTTATTTGTAAACAGCAGTTTTAACAACTGTAAAACAAGTGCAATGTAAGTTTTGCACATGTAAAACATGCTACAAACCCGTGTTGAACATATGAAATTGAGGTGTCTTTTTACAGTGAAACATCAGTTTTACATCTGTGATAAACCTGTAAAACATGTAAAAAACACATGTTAGACATATGAAATATAGATGTTTTTTTATAGTGAAACATTAGATTTGCATCTGTGATATCCTGTAAAACATAAGTAGTAATGATGTACAAACAATTTGATACACATGTAAAACATGTCAAAACACATGTTAGACATATGATATCTTGATGTTTTTTTACAACAAAACATCAGATAAAAAAACATCAAATTTGCATCTGTGATAAACCTGTAAAACAGAAGTTTTAAGGATGTGAAAAATCTATAAGGCATCTTAAATTAAAACCAAATCAATATCTGCTTTTTTAAATATAATTGTTGAATTTAAACAACATTGATATTAAAAGAATACCTAAGTACAGAGTGAGCAACAAAGATTGAAGCGTGCCGCTTCAGCTAAATTGGCAATGTGCCGCTCATAGCATATGCTGATTTGATTTAAAAGCAGCGGCGCAGATTCGAATTTAAATTAAATTAACGGAAAAAACACAAAAACATTTAACAACACAAAAAATTACATACACTGTTCAAAATGATGTCCGTTTGCATGTATACACAAATTCACCCTTCTCTTCATATTGTCAAAAACATTGTTTAACACTACAGGTGTGATTTCATCTGCTGCTTGGCGAATGGCATCTTGAAGTTCTTCGAGATTATGTAAACGTGTCTTGTATACTGAGTTTTTCAAATGACCAAACAGAAAATAATCAAGAGGCGTTAAATCTGGTGACCGTGGAGGCCAAATACCTCTACTAATTATTCGGTCATCAAAAAATTCTTGAAGGTATTGAAGAGTTACTCTTGCGGTATGAGCTGTGGCCCCGTCTTGCTGGAAAAAGCCATGTAGTAGCTCATCGTCATGAAGTTCATTAAGAAACGGTTCCAATATCAGCTGCCGATAGTTTGCTGCATTTATGTTGTTGTTAAAAAAAATTGGACCAATAAGTCGTCGACGAGACATTGCGAACCATACACCTATCTTTAGTGGATGTAACGCAGTTTCAACAAATACGTGAGGATTTTCCGCTGACCAGGTTCGATAATTTTGAGAATTAACATAACCGCTAAGGTGAAACCATGCTTCATCCGTAAAAAATGTAAGGTCGAGCAGATTGTTATCATTTAGATTATTGTTAAACCAGTTGCAATATTCCAAACGACGTTCAAAATCGGCTGGTAAAAGCTGTTGAACAACTGACACTTTGTATGGGTATAAGTGAAGAACCTTTTTGCAGCCCTTCCGACATGAACCATACGAAACACCACTTTGTGCAGACAAACGTCGCATTGATTTATTAGGACTTACATCCATTCTGTGTTGGATGTCGTCCACAACTTCTTCGGTGAGAACTGTTGGTCTACCTGTAGATTTTCCTTTTGAAATGCTTCCTGTTTCACGAAAACGGTGTACGATACGACGAATACGTTGTCGTAGTGTTGCGTCTTCAATGTAAACATCAGGAAACTGTTGTCGAAATTGAACAAAACAATTCTGATAAGAATACGTCCATTCTCCGTTTTCCTGACGTTCTCCAGTACGAAAGTACGCTTCCAATAGAAACTTGTTGTGTATGTCCGTTAAAGCCATCCTTAACGATGACTAAACGACAGCAACTAAAAACCCAAAACAAAACTGCACGACGATTCAGCACAAGATACGAAATACGAATAGACGCACGTCACTGTGACAGCGCATAACGTTATTTCGGAAAGTCATTTTCGTATACAACTCCATACAAAGAAGGTAGTTTTGATATTAATAGGAACAAGCGGTGATGACGCACGCTTCAATCATTGTTGCTCACACTGTATAAAAAATAATACAATATTTAGCCTAATTCTATTGGCTAATACTAAACTAATATAAAATAAACTGTAATTTTAACTGTACACGGTATATTTACACATTCTCCATAGGATCTTCCTTCTCGAAATTTGATCTATTAACAAAAACAAAAAATTAACGTCTATGCTCATTATATCCACGTTGTCTTTGTATTGAAGTGATACTTAATGATGAGTGGAGAAATGTGTGTAGGTACTGTACATGCATTAAAAAAAGTAGGTACTAATATACCTATTAATGTACCTACGTAATAGAAAGAAACTTGTCAATTATTATAGATTTCTATACTTTTTACTATTCTATTTCTTTTTATTTGCACCAGTTAAATCAATTTGCTTGTGACTGTTGCGACTATACCTACTGACAATCAATAAGTTTTTGATAGGATACATACAATAATTATTGACAGGTTTCGTACTGCACTGTACCACTACTGCTAGCAATAGTAAGTTTTCATATTTGAAGAAAAATACTCACTCTTCTGTAGGTGGAATAGGACTTCGAGAGTGTGCAATGTAATTGGACACACTAGCTTCCACTCTCTGCACATTGGAAATTTTCCAAATTTTTTTTAAAACTCCTATAAAAATCAACAAATTACATGACGAAATTTATGAAAGTAATCATTACCCAGCATTAATTGGTAGAGTTTTAACTCCACAAACGCCTTCTTTTCTAGTCTGTCCTTTCGTTTCTGGCTTTTCCATGAAAACTTTTGGAGTAGCGCCGGAGCCATCGTTAAACGAACAAAACTACGAGCCGTCTTGTTTTCTGATGACTTCTCTAACTGCGTCTCCAAAGCAGTAATCTATAAGAAATGTCAAAATTAAATTATATTTTATGAAAATCAAAATACTAACCACTGCATTACAAAACACATGATCGGAAGATAATTTTTCTTCAAAGACATTTAGGTCTGCCATGGTTTGAATTGGAAAGTACTGTAAAGTGTCCTCGTTATTAGTATTATCGTCTAATTCATTGTCTTCCCTGTCCACCGCTTGTGTCTTATTTGCCGATAGCTGGTTTTGAACTTCATATAAACTTGTTATTTCGGACTAGTCTCCGGTTCTGATGTGCTATAATTGTCGTCACGCATTCTTTTTGCCTTCCTTTGCCCTCTACCTCGGGCTTCATTTTCTGTGTAAGTGTGTGTCCATCATTGGACCAACAAACCAGTTTCATTATGACAAAATTCGTATTATTAAGATCCAATGTAGCTTTTCATTATATTCTAAAGTGTGAATGAGATAAAATAAAGAAGCCGTTACAATTCATAATTTGAAAAAATGACTTACCATAATCACTTTTTATTATTTCAATGTTGTCTATTACGTCCCAGTCAGCTTCTGGTTCAGAACTCTGCTTTACTAGCCGATTTATTGTACCCATTGGTTTTGCAGTTGGACAGAAGGCCGATGTTCCATATCGTAACCATTTATTTGGAATTACATCATATTCGTCCATTTTTTAAATTAATGTCCATAATTTTGTATACTTTAAAAAAAACAGAATATACACAGTTGGAAAAATAGCCTACAATGTTTTAATAAGAGGACAAAACAAGGTTCTTCTAAAGATAATAAAGCACAGTGCTTTAAGTAGGTACCAGATACAAACGCTCTTAAAATTTAGAAGTAAAACATTAGTTAGATGATGAGTGTAATAATGGGAAGACCACAAATCCATTTTTATAAGTCAATCGAACATATTTAAACAATATATCTGAACTTGTCCAAGATTTTCCAAGTTTCCTCATTTTTTAACTTTGTGAACACCTATTGAGTTGAGGAGCTTGAAAAATTATTCAGAGAAAAGAAAGGGCCAGTTTCTTCAAATTTTCTACCAATTACAACTTGGGTTTTTGTTTCCGGTAAGTAGGTATGCAAAATTTTCAATTAAAACAATGTCCCCATTTTTCATACCACAACAGTTATCTGCTTGGGAATCAATTGCTAGAGTAAAATTTGGAAAAACTGCTTTTCTGTATTGAGGAGAAAATCATTGTGCAGGGAGTGGTCCATCAGTATGAATCCTGGTATGAATTGATCCAAATTTAACTTCACATGTTGGTTGGACAAAATATTTTTCATTAAATTTGGAAGATGTGAATAATTCAACTATTCTACGACTAATTTGTTCCAGTGGTTTGGATTTTCCCCGTACTAATTTTTTTATTGTGTATAAATAATTTTCGAAGGAATACGCAGATATGTCACAACATGAAAAATTTGGTATCAATTTTATAAAATGGTCACAATCGTCCACAATATGAATTAAATTGTGAAAATTATGGGAAATATAACGTTCATGATATATATTTGCAACCTGATATACAAAGTGTCTCAATAAATGGCGGGAGTAATTACGATTATTAGCTTCTTTGCATAGAAGTGGATTAGATAATATAGTTATGGCAACATGAAACATTAAGAAGCTCTGATAACTACTTTCCTGCAAAAAATCTTTTAAAACAACTGGACCAAAATATAAGAGAAAAGAGAAAAGAAAAGTTCAGTAGCTTTCCAACGCAATAAATCCTTTAGCTCTCTTGGGCGACGAGCGAATTTTAAAGGAATGCATGATCGTAACATTAGTAATTTTTCTGATATTCCCTTACGTTGTGCAATTGACAATTGGTGTGGAATTCCTCCACTATTCCACAGTAATAAAAGTGCTCTCATAATTCCTAAATGTAACAAATGCATAGGGTCTAAAATAAAGTCAGATACAAAGTTTAATTCTGAAATTGAAATCAAAGGAGTATCTCGATTTGGTGGACGATAGTAGGAATCTCTTCTTTCGCGAAAATCTTCACTAGTCCTTAATACACAATCTAAATCCAATAAATTTATAAATAATAAATATATAAAATTATAAATCTAAATAACCAACGAGGCAAAGAAAAATAAAATGTGACATCGAATACCAGCCTACAAATTTTACGTTGCAATTAATGCTCGTAGTAAATAAACAATAAACATAAATATATGGATTCTACTTACATAGCGTTGCCATCCGTCCTCTTTTCCCCGGACACTGTCCTCTTTTTTTGCGCGTCCGGGGTATGTCCGGGGAACATTTTTGATTTGTCCGGGATTTAACAAACAGAAAACTTTTGATCAAAATATTGATAAATCAAACCATCAATGACGTCAACATGATCAGTTTACGGTCTATATATAGAGTAACGCCGTAACCTCTCATTTTTTTCGTGATTAGCGCGTACGCGGTGCGGCGCGCGCGCGAATCGTGATTCGTGATTCATGCTGTAATTTTGCTGTAGCGGCTTCGTCTCTGTTTTGTTGTCCGTTTCGTGGTTTCGGATAACGTGCACGTGCAGCAGGATTCAGAACATTCCACAAAAATTACAAAGGTAAGATGCTAACATTATTATTATATCGTCTCCTACCTAAGCTAATTCATATCGTTCATAAACCTAACGATAGTCCATCAGTCTATAATAGTAGTTTTGTATTACCTAATTTCTATGTTTTTTCACTATTTCAGAATAGTAAAAATGCCCAAAAGGAAATGTATTTTTAATGACGAGCTGCAAAGGAAATATCCGTTTTTAAGAAGTGGCAAATACAGTTGGGAAGTTGTTTGCACGCTTTGTTCTTCTACAATTTCGATTGCAAACAAAGGTTCACATGATATTCAAGAACATTTAGACACCAACAAACATAAAAAATGGGACCAAAATCAAGCAAGTACTTCAAAAATTGACACATTTTTTAAAAAATGTGGTGACGACTATAAAGTCCGCGCTGCTGAAGGAACTATGGCGTATCATACCATAAACCATCATTTTTCATTTTTGTCTCTGGACTGCACCATGGACTTAAATAAATTAATATTTAGTGATTCCAGTATTGCAAAAGACGCAACGTGCAATAGAACAAAAGCCACCGCAATTGTTAAAAACGTTCTCTCTCCGTTATCCACACTACAAATAATGAAGGACCTTGAAAATATTGCATTTATAAGTATTTCTTGTGATACTAGCAATTACGGCGCTACAAAATTGCTGCCAATTCTTATTCAATACTTTGACGAATCCAATGGCGGTATTAAAACCAAAATTTTAGAAATTGTATCTATACCTAATGAAACTTCAGATTCGATTAGTGATCTTATTGTATCAAAACTCGACCATCATAATTTAACATTAAAGTGTGTCGCTTTTAGTGGCGATAACTGCAATACCAACTTTGGAGGTAAAGACAGACTACACTGATAAAACAGATTTGGAAATTTACAATAAAATTACTGCTTTTCGGTGACCAAGAAAATTGATGTAAAATCGCAAGCATTCAGTAAACGAGTACATTTACAATTTATATGTAACTACGGATTTACAATTTCTTTGTAAAAAAGCCATTATTTTGTAACAAAATTTCACAATATATTTGTGATTTTAAAATTTAAAATACATATGTTACATTGAAAATTTACTTTTTTTTGTAAAATTTCATGTTATTCTATTATAGTATATTTACCAAGTTTTGGCATTTTACATAGCGATGCACGTTTTTTACATTGTAACTGTACCATTACATTTTTGTAAATTTCTACGGGGTAAGTAAAAGTAAAACCACTATCTAACATAATAGAAACTTGTATTATATGTTGCAACGTAACGCATAATTCAAAAATACAAAAAATCCAATAAACAAAACTACTATTCAGTACACAGTTCGAAAAAATAATACTATTTCAGTAAATAGTGAAGATTATATATATTATTAAATAAAGATATGTCATTCTAAATGTCTCTTAATTTATTTAGAAGCGCAAAAACTTTGCGCTTAGACGAGTTACTTTTTTTTGATTTAGTACCATCGTCAGGGTGGATTTTTAAAAAGTATCGTTGAATCGTTTCCATGACGCAGGAAATTTCCTTTGGATACTGTAAATTTAGTAGAAAATACAGCCCAACTAGACTTTGCACTGCCTCCTCAATCGATTCAACTTCAATTGCCTGCTCCTTTTCCAAAACAATGAACAGCTTTCTTTGAACTCCCGAATCTGTATTTAAAAATTATTGTGTTAGAAGCTTTAAATAGTACATATGACTAATTTATTTGAGGTCCTTTAAACGTTGTATATTATACAAGATATTCAAAACTGATTTAGCGCAGTTCGATTTTTAAAACTTTTATTTATAAATGCAGCAGAAATGAGTATTGCTACCTTGTATAAATTGGAAACATACAAGTAAATAAAGAATGATATGTGGCATTTTTCAGAAAAAAAAACATAAAAGATTGTATCTTTTTAAACACAAACATTGTCAGTAGATACTGTACACCCTACCACGTGTCATTCTATATTTTGGACATCCATAATACCAAATTAAGAATTTTGAAAACTCTTACCTACATCCACAATACACGGCGAAAGAAATGATATATCATGATCCAGATCTGGGTCTTTCTATAACAAAAATAATTCATGGTACCTTTTATGTTCATACTCGAATACTACACCTACCTCAACTTTTAGGTAAATTTTTTCAAGATCTTCCTTATATAAGTTGCACAAAATTTCCAACGTATCTAATACTTTGTTGTTATTTTTGGGAATTTTGAAATTTCTTTGAGAAGCATATTTTGAAATATTTTCAAACTTTTCTGCCATAACATCAGATAACGTCTTTAGGTTTGCCTTGGTTAAATTATGAAAATGCCAATAAATTGCTGGAATTTGGAACAAAATAGGCCATTCTTCTTTTATTTTATGCACGGTGGGAGGATCTTCACTGTTGATAAAGTTTCTTTGGTCTGTATAAGTTCTGTTCATTAATTCATAAAATTCGTCATTATATTGCTGTTTTTTTCCTAATTCTAACAATTTAGATTTATAGTCCTCATCGTGTTGATCGTCATTTATTACATCTGGAGGGTTCCAGTTGGAACAACCCGCAGTGGAATTTTTAATTTTCTTAGATTTTGAAGATATTTGGTTAGAAGACAATCGCTTGTGTGGCCTATTTAAGTAATGGATTCTTTCATGGAGTTTTGTAAAAATGCTGCTACATCCATCTCCTAATGTTACCCCATCGTCATCGACATCTTTAAATACATTTGGGTATTTTGTTATTATTTTATTGGCCACAATTCTAATGGATTTGCTTGATGGTAGAGACTTTATAGCCATCATTTCGTTTGCAACCATATGCACAATCTCTGTTATTATTCGTTTATCACGCACTCCCTTCTCGCATACATTAATTACATTAACAGATAACTTATTCCATGGAATTTCGAAGCTAGTCCACATATATTCCATATTGTTGTCTACATGAAGTATACGTGCATTTACAATGTTGATGTTTTCTTTTTCGTCATAATTGCCATCTGCACCTGCAGTAACGGAATCTATCAGAGAAACCGTACTGGCCAGAGACACAGTACTGGCTAGTGATGTAGCTCCAGAAATGCAATCCGTATCGGTCCACTCTTCACCCGTTTGCAATAGAATTAGAATTTGTTCTTTTACCAACATAAGGATGTCATCTTCGTCCACTATGGTTCCGTCACTCTCCAATACTAGCTTCACTCCATCTATTTCAAGTTTTTGGGAAGCTGAAACAATTATGCCATTACAAACAACGCGGGACAGTAACGACCATACTAACCTTTTAACACCAGTTCAACATAAACGTTTTCCTCTGGAACACAAACCAAAACTTTTCGAGTACGTGTCCTATTCCATACTTTGAATAGATGCATCTAAACAGTATGTTAAATATTATTAGAAACTGCTGTACGTATGTGAAATATTGATTAACATTTTTAGGTAAAGTAATATCTTTTAATTGAATAGGTGCATTATTTTTAACAGTGAAGAATGATTTTTTGATAAGTAACAGTACCTACTAATTAATTGATTGCAAATATGTAATATAGTAAGTCACAAAGTTAGGAGAAACAATAAAGGCGAAACTTTCCGCTGCATATAACGGAACTGATTTTGCCTCTTCTTTCATTTTTTTTTTCATTTCGTCAGTATGATATACCGCAATTATTTACGCTTTCAAAAATTAATAGCAAAAAGTAATGCAAAATTTTAGAAATCTGGAATTTAATACATCAACACCATACTCTTATCTTTCCAATATAAAAACCCTCAACTCAATATCTCGCTGAAAAGTGACAAAAATGTGAAATAAAATGAGATAAATTAAATCAGTGCCGTTACACAGCGGAAAGCCTCGCCTTAATGCAAAAAAATTGATTGCAGTATGTATAACGTAAAAAAATTGATACTTTTGGTTAAAATCGAAAAATTAACATTTAAAATACTTTAAACTTCTTTGTAAAATGTAATCTTTATACTACATACGGAGTTGACTTAAAACTATAAAGAATAGTTTTTGTCGTACTTAAATACTGTAAAAGTGGTTCATGACATAATAAACTGTTAAATTTAACGAAAATGTTAATTTCGGTTTCATCGGCAAATTGGTAAAACAAATCATTGTAATAATTACAAAATATTTTTGTCTTTTGACCTACAAAATAAATATCGTCATATTCTTTGGTTATTAAAATGAACTGGATTTTACACAATAGAAAGTATCCAAATGCGTCTATATCATAGCAAACTACTTGACCGGTTTTGTAAATGGTACCTCTAAAAGTAACATAGTTTGATATGAGAATGTCAATATTTCCAATGTTAGTTGTAATTAGATTCTTCATTTCATACGATACTTCACACTCGCCTAGTATATGAGCATCATCTGACAATACACTGTCATTAAATAACAAATTTTGGGTTGCATTCAGTGCTTGAAACAACTGATGCTTATTTGATAGTGAAAATAATATGTTCTTATAATTCTTACTATGTCGTATGGCATTTTTAAAGTACTGGTGTTTTGCCTCAAATCTTAAGGTCCATAAGTGCCTTAGTGGTCCAAATTGTCGTGTTAAATAAGGATAGTGAGACATAAAGTGATGTTTTGGTTTTAATGAAACGTTGGGAAACAAAGTTTGGCGATCTTCCAAATACTCAGTAATTAAAGTTTTTAACAGAGCTACTTGATTAAGAGAAATTTTAAAACTTAACAGCAGCAAACAAATTCTTCGTAAACATAATATTAATTTCCATATTGCAGAGACATGGAGGTTATCATCGTCATGAAATACAAAAGGGAATAACAACAAAAGCATCATATTTTGTGATGCATTACCAGGAAGTTTGTCACCTTTGCTCAATAAAGGAAAAGTGTATTTTTTCTCAAACAGAAAATGCAGTTTGCTCACTTTAATGTTAAGTTCATCGTAAGAAAACAATTTGTTAGAAACACATTGGTTAATTGCCAACATCAAATCCCTTTGTACTACACCTTCAAACATGTCATGAGCAATGCAAGGCGGTAGTCCAGGATTACACACGTGATAATAATTTAAGTCGTTTAACACAGAATTGTGTTTAATTCCTTTAGAAGGCTCTGCTTCAAAATTTGCCATGTTAACATCGAATTCGTACAATGACTTTGTTCGGTAAACTATAGGTTTATTAGAATGAGCATAGCTAAAATCGCAGTATCGACAGAAATAACCCGATGTGCTAAAATTTTCGACAAACCCACCAACTTGATGACTGCCTAAGTTGTCTCCGATCACTGATAATAAGGAACCTTTTATATTAATTCGTTTATTGTCAACTTCTACTTCGACGCCTGTAACTTCTATAAACTTCAAATCTTCCAATAATACAGTTAGCACTTTATGAAAACCTAACATTTTAATAGTTTTTTCGTACACCAGTCCAATTAATTGAATATGACCCACTTTTGACCAATGCCTACTGGGTATATTATTAACTGTAAAGTATATTCCAACTACTTTATGCTTTTTTCTGGATGAACCTAAAGGGTTACAAATTTCGAAAGCGTCTTGGTAAAGAATTAATTGCAAGGCATGGGGATTATTCTCGTAAAATAAGTTATTCTTAAAAGAAATACCATCACATATATTTGAGAAATCCTCAACATTGCTTTCTGGTGAAAAATATGCTTTACAAAAATTTTTTGTTTTAAACAACATTTCTATCGTTTTTATAATCGGGACGTAATAAAACTTAGAACCACCTTCTAAATTAATACACTTTGGCGAAATGTAATTAAAATAGTTTTGATAGTATTTATTTCTTATGAATTTAGATCTTAGTTCACCATGTACGGCGTTATGAACTTTGTCAAACAAATTGTTTTCTAGAATGGCTTTATCGATTACAACATTGTTAGTTTTTAACTTTTCAATTATGTAATCATTATTTAATTTATTGAGGTCAGTTATACCATCGATAACTATTTGCATTGATTTATTTGTCATAAAGTATTTTGATTCCATTGTCAGATATAATGAACTGATTAACTTGAGGCTTAGCTCTTCATAATTATTGTTAGGTTGACCTTCACCTACTACGACAGGATTATAATCTTCATCTGAATCCAAATTGTTAATTACTTCGACGTCCCCGACGTCATTTATATCACAAAGCGTGTCTTTGTTTCTTACAAAAGAACCTTTCAAACTTTTAAAATGAATTCTACGCATATGTTGTGACAAATTATTCACCTTTGTAAACACTGTCTCAGTTTTACAGGAATCAAACAAAGGGCATTTCAAAGGAATGCTATTTTTAATGTGACTATATGCATGCTTACACAATTCATTTGTATTAGTGGTTTTAAATACACACACAGTGCATGAAACAGAAGCAAGCATCATCGTCGAATTATAATTAAATTTATGATTTTGGAGGATATGTTTTTGAAAGTGTCTGTAATTTGAGAAGTTTAAATTGCAGTTGTTTTTCAAGCATTTGAATGTTGCACCATGTGTGTTTCGATGATAGCTTAAGTGAACATTATATTTGCTCAATGTTTTTAAATTGAAACCACAAATGGTGCACTTAAATATCATTGTAACTTATACCTAGCTTATAACTACAATGGGTTAAATATAGGTATACTTTCCTTTTTATGTTTACACACCAACTCCAACACGAGCACCAGCACCACTAACGCACAGATAGAAGTAAAACGGTAATGGCGAACGCGCACAAGCACAAATTACTTACTCAATGCATAAAAATCCCGTGTCGACTATAAATTATTCTATTGGTTAAAATTTACATGATATTTGTAAAATTACTATTTCATTGAAATTTTCCCACTTTCTCTTTGAAAATTACAACCTATTTGAGTATACTATGTGTTTTTTTGAAATTTTACAATCCATCTTTGTAAATGTTTTACAGAATTGAAAAATAACAAATTAAATTTACAACCATTTTGCTATTCCTACAATCCGAATCAGAAAAATGCAAGAAATGTGTAAATTTCCCAGTATTATTGTCGTTATAAAATTTACAATCAATATTAAGGTAAATTACGTTAATTTCATTGTAATCTCTAAGTAAATTTACAGCAATTTTTTTCAGTGTTAGGTAAAAATAACGTTTACGCAAAATTAAAACACAAGCTTCAAAGAGACATTGTTGGGATTGGGTGTCCAGCCCATATTATAAATAATGCTGTCCATAAAGGTTGCGATATTTTTTCTGTTGACATAGAATCTATTGTTATGAAAATTCATAATCATTTTTCTGTGTTTACGGTAAGAACGGAAGCTCTAAAAGATTTTTGCGAACAAAGTGAAGTTGAATATTCTAAACTCTTATATCATTCAAAAACAAGGTGGTTAAGCTTGTATCCTGCTATTGAACGAATATTAAAATTGTATGAACCTTTAAAACATTATTTTTTAAATTTAGATAACCCACCTTTCATTTTAAAACAATTTTTTGAAAATAAACTTGGCGAAGCCTTTTTGTTTGGTATTCATTCAACAATGAACATCATGCATTCAAAAATTCAATACCTAGAGAAGTCTAACAATTCCATTATAGAAGCAAAAAAAGTTTTAAGGGAGATTTCATTTAACCTGGAGCAACGAATTAATCAAAATTTTATGCCTTTAAAAATAAAAGAAATTTTGTCTAAAATTGAGAATGATAGTGAGGTGACAAACTTTAAAGAAGAAATAATCAATTATTATAAAACTATGAAAAATTATTTAGAATCGTGGATCGAACCTCTGAAAGATCTAGATATATTTGAGTGGATGGATATTGCTAATATTAAAACAGTCGAGTATTCAAATCTTGAACCAACTCTTTTATTTTTAAATGCTCACAATGTAAATTTTGACGAAGAAAAGTTATTTAATGAAGTACTCTGTTTGCAAAAATTTATAAATGACTTGCCAACTGAAAACCAAGTTACAGACAATTGCAATATTTTTTGGAGCAATTTTTTCTTGTCTGAATTAGGAACAAACTGCCATGAACTTAAAAGGATAGCTTCATTTTTCTTTTGTCTACCAGCTCACAACGCCAACGTGGAGCGAGTATTTTCGCTCATTAAGTCTCAGTGGAGCGCTGAACGAAATAAACTTTTACCTGAAACTATAGCAGATATTTTAAAAACCAAATATAATTTTGACATGACATGTCAACAATTTTATGATTACCTTTTAAAAGGAGACAAAAATGTCCTTAAAAACATAGGCAGTTCACTTAAATATAATGTTGAATTAAATAAGTAATTTACAATTATTTTTATATTCTTTGTATGTTATTTTTATTTAGATAGGTTGGCATATCTATTTATCATATATGTTTAATAAAAAAACGTCATAAGACAAAAATTTGACTTTTTTTTTGCCTGTCCGGGGTATATAGTAAAATGTCCGGGTTTTTACATTTTGAAATTCTAGTTTCTAAAATTATACGATGGTACCTAGCTGCGAGCAAGCCGCGTGCGCTTAGCTTGTTTCTGTATGTCGTTGGCGGGTCATAAAATTCGTTGTATGTAGATTAGAGCCGTTTCTTTTTAGTAGTCGGTGTCATCTCCTCCATAAGGCAAGGCGCACACTTGCGATTTTCTGTAGCGCGATTAAAATCGCGGTCGCAAGTGCATACAACTTTTTGTCTGTACACGCAATACGATTTTTTAACGACAGTCGCAATATGGAATTGGAAGAAATGGGTGCTATAATTGCGCTTGTCCTTCGGTTTCGAAATAAAAACAAGAAGCGGTACTGGGTAAATAGTGCACTGCTATTTTCGTTTAAAAATGAGAATTTTATTTTTGCGACTAAACGATCGCGCGACAGAAAATCGCAAGTGCGGCCTAGTCGCCTAGTTAACACGAAATCGATTAGAGAATATAATTTATCAGAGCGAAAGCGACTATATAGGTTTTATTTTAAGGTGCGTATTCACTTGCAACAAAATGCCTCCAACGAACCGAACGTGCCGCGCGCGCTGTAGCAAATTTGTCCAGTTACGTTACGTGCGTTTTGTTGCAAGTGAACTTAGAAAAGCACATCTGATTTGTTCCCCGGCACCGTCTTCGAGCCGTTTTAATTGTCAGACTTTAATTTCTATCCGAATTTATCCATAAATACTTTTCTAAACATAATCGTAAAGTCCTTATATTTCGACAGTATCCTTTCTGAAAATAAAAACAAAAAAACACTTGTTAGTGTTCGGTACAATCAGAGGTACACTCAAGCGAGCAATCAAGGTTGGATGAAACCGAGGATAAAACTGAAAATATTTTGAATGAATATAGGAAATCTATTCCCATTAGTGTCCATATAATAATAGACTCGTCGTTCTCGATTTAATACATATATACATATACACATCGGAGCATATATCATTATTATGTAACGAACTCGAAGTCTACGCTAGTCAATGTACTCATTGCTGAAGAATCCCACATTAGCCAAGTTTCATGCAAATAAATGATAAAAAACGAAAAAAAAGTGTTTAAACTAATTTTGTTCATTGACACGTACTTTTTGGAACCGAACCAAACTTGCCAGCTTTGCACTTAAGACAAAAATACATTACAAAATTACGCTATACTGCTAAAACAAAATTTCTCGAATAAATTCAAATCATACGAAACTTGTATTTCTTTTGACCCTCACTTTAACAGTTTAAATATACATATTTCCAAAATCGCATCAAATTTATTGCGTAAATAGGTATCATATTTTGAATTAAAAATGCGTTAGTAGGTGGCCGAATGATCCATTCAAATTACGAAAATTCATTATGTAACCCAATTATTCAGAAAATTAACACATTTTGCAACTTCCCAAGTGTATGCAAGGTTACGACTATACCGACGTCCTTTAGTACCCATTTGGCCTTCGTAAGCTGTTCTAATCAGTGATTTTTAAATATTTTATTTAAACCGCGACTATGAGTATACGTTTTATAAATAGGACTGTAAGGAGTGTGTCCATTACGAAGATAACAGATGTGTAAAAAAGCAGGTCCTGAAATTTGGATCGTTTAGTCCATAAGAGCAATATAAATGTTTACCATTAAACGCAATGGAGCAAGAGGTATTCTTTCGTACACATACATGTGGCTTCTTAGTAGTCTATAATCTGTTCACCCAACAGATGCAGTTAAGCCACTCCCAATAAATTTTGGCCAATGTTAATAACCGAGGTAATAACAGACACGTTTCACAGTCACAAAATTGTAAAAACCGGGAAATTTAAAATCGCATTGTCGGACTAAGTTATAAAGTGTTTTGTTTTGAATATTGACCTTTAAACACATACAGCAGTGCCTCGAGCAGTGCATAGTTTCAAATTGTTTATTAAGTTCAAAAAGATTAGTTTGTTCGTATAAGTGAAATTAACGGCCAATTGAGGCACCGCAAATACCAAACGCAATGACAGGTTTGACGTTAAAGATGTCAGTTTAGATACGGCAATTATTATAATTGGAAGCAAATAGTTGCGTGTGTTACAGGTTTTGAAAATTCGGCCAATTAAAAATATTCATTCAAATTTGCCGGGAATTTTTTGGAGGAGCTTAACTGCATATTTTGGATGAACAGAGTAGTGCTTCTCGGTATTTGGTGGTATTATGTAAGTATCCTATGAGAATGTCAACAGACGGAACGGATCAAAGACTACCAAAAGGTTCCAGAAGCTTGACAAGAAGGAACTACATAATATTAGAGAAGAGACTACTAGTACAATCTCGCATGATTAGGGCCTTGTGCACAGGTGCGCCATCCTGTTGAAACCAACAGTTGTGTATCATACATTATTGTATTCGTAATAATAATAAAAAATCCTAGTGAATACATGTGTACTTTTTTTTACTGGCCATGTAATATCTATGTGTACCCATTGAATAAAAAAGTATTTTTATTCAATGCTTTACCTAAATCACATTACTTAAATGTACTGGGACCCACATTAGGTATTGCTGTGTGCCCCACGTTGGGCCAAAAAATAATGCTGCGGGCACTGATCCGTAGGCCAGAAAGATTGTACACAAAACACCAAAATAAAAATCTAGCTAGCTCTTTCCCTTTACTTATTAACACTTCTCCTCAGCACGGAAGAGTTAACCTGTTAACTTCTAACAGATAGTGGGTCAAACCAAATACCTTAAACTCCAAACTGAACTTCAACATTTTGAATATTTAAAATGGGCGTTGGGCAAGTATCCAATAAAAACAACAGGTAAATTAGAAAAGACGTCGTTGTGAATGAAACACACGGAAATTAATGTGAAAATTACAAAAGTCTTAACAAACAAAAGGAAAATGGTAAAAAAACAACAAATTATTACAAATAGACTAAAATTAAGACTTAACTACTTACATTACTTGTCCGGAAATTGTAATCCAAATAAAAGGTATCCTTACACAGTTCACAAAAACAACTTTCAATGAACACACTTTATACTAACGACCTCCGGTAATCGCAGCATCTTCTCTTCGGATAGACAAGGACGTTCCAATAAAAAAACTCGACTTCAAACTGAGTCACGTTGACAACACACTTATGGGCGCGTCGACAAGCACCTCTCCTTTTAGCACCTTTGATGGCCAAAACTTCAAAACGTAGAACAATAACTCAAAATTATAACAACCAATCATACACAGTTGACAACATAGACTTTCCCCCCAACGTACGTTAATAGACCAAAAAATAGAGGTCGAATAATTTTTATAAATCAATTTGATATCAGACATTAAGATATAAATGCAAACTTAAATTTTAGGAAAAAATAAAAATGTCATCTCTTAACTACACAGAAAAAAACGATAAATCACATCCATCTGTCAATTAAATTAAGCATTTACAATTGATAACAGATAACGACCC